AGCAGACAACATGGCTGGCTGCTGAACAACTCAGCTACATGCAGGATTCAAGTGTGCTAAAAGCTATAGACCATTCCTAAAGCTTCTCTTTATATACTGGGAGCAGACCACATCCCTGAGGCTGCTCACAGTAGATTCCAGCGTGGAGTTTATTACCAATATCATCATGGGGAATATTACATCCAGCTGCCCAGCTACTCAAAACCAGACCCAGCCAAGTTGACACATAACCTTAACTACCACAGTCATTAATATAATCAAGTGCAGACACATGAAACTTACATGGGATACTTTTTGCAACATTTTAAAAAGAGAAAATTATAGGTAATATATGTTAATCAAAGAGAATTTAGGGGAATAAAACATTATCCATAATTTCACCAATTTTCCAGTAAGAAAGCATGAAATGTGTGATCAGAATGTAACAGAGTCAGATAATTAGAACAAAGAAAAGAATCCTTGAAGAAACTGGACGTATTTAGCCTGGATGGAGATAACTCAAATGTCCTTCAAATATTTGAGATTTTTCCTAGATAAACCTAGAGAGGTTTTCAGCACTGCTCCACGTTAGAGGTAGCAAACTCAAATGTCCACAAAGACAAAAAATTTATATATGCAAATGCAGTACGGCAGGCATAAAATAACAGTCATAGAGGGACTGTGGAGAACTAGAAAGCATGTGGCCTATCTAAAACAAATGATCTCAATTCAACCCAACTAATTTGGAAAGGAAACCCAGAGTTGCCAGAGTATTCCTTTCTTTTTTAGCTATAACATCTCATTGACTAGTACATTCATTCATTCAACAAACATTTGTTGAATGTGTAAATTCCTGGGGAATGTGCAAGCAATGAGAGAGACAGCAGGAATTAAACTTAATATTGCTTGTTTGCACATGTAATGTCCTTCTTATGTGTAACCAAAATAGATCATTTAAAAAATTATTGTGGTAAATATATATGCAACAAAACATTGCCTTTTCAACATTCTTCATATATGCAATTTAGTGACATTTATTATATGTATCATGTTGTTCAACCATCACCATTATCCACTTCCTAATTTTTCTATCACCTTTAACAGAAGAAGCTCAATGCCCTGAAGCAATGAGTCCCCCTTTCACCTTCCGAGTATCTATTTTATTTTTTAAAGAAGAAAAGGTAGAAATACAGATATTTTAGTTATCAAGTTTTAATCATTGGCTACCAATTAAAAATAAAA